TATGGTGTCTTCTCGTCACCGTGGAATAAACCTTTCCTCATTAAAAACAGTCTCATGTGATCCGTCTCTGACTGAAACGCGCAATGACTGCGTGTTTCATCCTGCAGTTGCGCTATTTAACTGTTGATCCCTCACAGATAAGGCTACTGTGCTTTGCTCACTACTAACTGAGAAAAACTTCGACTTATTGCTCCTCACTGAAACATGGCAAACTCCTAATGACTATTTCCACCTAAATCTTCTCACTCCCTGTGGATACAGCTACCTGGCCAAACCTCGTTTGACATCAAGGGGTGGTGGCCTGGCTGCTGTTCACCGCAGCAGCATTCCAGTCAAAACTATTGATTTTCACGTGACTTTAACTTTTGAGTATTTAGCTCTCAAAGTTTCTGGTACATCTCCAATGATCTTGATTCTCCTGTATCGTCCACCTAAAGCAATCTCAGATTTCTTCAGTGAACTGCATGAACTGTTAACCCTTTCCTCTGCCTTATCCTCTTGTGTTATATTACTTGGTGATTTCAACATACATGTTGATACTGACTGTGCAGAATCGCGTGAACTTATGTCATTATTTGAATGTTTCAATCTTGTACAACATGTCGATTTTGCTACACACTCTAAAGGTCACACACTGGATCTCGTCTGCACTACTGGTCTATATAATGTTTCTGTGCTTGGTTCTCAGATTGGACTGTCTGATCACCTCCTTGTTGAACTAAACTGTGAAATGCCTCTTCCCCGCCTCAGGGTGAAATCTACTATAACCTTCCGTAACATCAATTCTGTAAATCCAGTACTGTTTTCTGAATCTGCACAAACTTATCTCTCTGATATTACTGCACACACTAGCTCTCTTGATATCCTTACCAAATATAATGCTGGTATTTCCACTGCCCTTGAATTTCATGCTCCTCTTAAAAGTAGAGTTGTACCTTCTACACACACATCTCCCTGGTTTACCCCTGCACTTCGCAAGCTAAAAACAGCTGGTCGTCGTCTTGAACGCCTTTATAGGAAAACTGGTTTGACTGTTCATCTTACTGCTTACACTGACCATATCCAATTGTACAAATCTGCTATAAACACTGCACGCTCTAGTTACTTTTCTACTATTATTAATAATGCGTCTTCACGTCCCAAAGCACTGTTTTCGGTGGTCAATAAACTCACCAACCCTCCTGCACCTGTCATTAGTAACCCGGCAGACCTCTGTGAATCATTCCTTCATTTCTTTCAAAATAAAACTGATATAGCATTCACAATCATTTCCCATCCATGATCTCGCCTGTCTACACACACAACTTCGCCACTGCTTGTACACCTGGTACTCTCACTAATTTTACCCCCCCCAACCCCTGCTTATATCTCTGAGCTAATCAACAAAGCAAACACATCTTCCTGTCATCTTGATCCTGCTCCTACTACTTTACTGAAAAAATGTGCATCTGTGATTTCTCTCCCGATTTCACTTCTCATCTCCCAACTACTAAGTTCTGGTTCTGTTCCTCTGGAATTAAAAACTGCTGCTGTCACTCCTGTCCTAAAGAAACACGGCCTTGACCCCACCAACATGGCCAATTTCAGACCAATCTCAAATCTACCATTTCTATCGAAACTGTTTGAGAAGGTGGTCTCTGCCCAACTTCAAACACACTTGTCAGCTAACAACCACTACGAATGTTTTCAATCTGCTTTCCGCACCCTCCACAGCACTGAAACAGCACTTCTCAGGGTTGTCAATGATCTCCTCTTGGCCACCGACTCCGGCTCCACTAGTATTCTAATTCTTCTAGATATTTCTTCTGCATTTGACACAATCTCTCACAATATTCTTATCTCGCGACTCTCTGCTATTGGTGTTTCTGGAACTGCACTAACTTGGTTCACTTCTTACCTGTCCGACCGCCAGCATTACATCTCCATTCGCCAGGCTAAGTCCACCACTCTCTCTGTCCCACACGGTGTTCCCCAGGGTTCTGTTCTTGGGCCTCTTCTCTTCATCATCTACATGCTCCCATTAGGTAATATCATCCGTCATCATGGCTTTAAATTCCACTGTTATGCTGATGACACCCAACTATACATTCATTCTCAATGCAATTCTCCTTTTCCCACAAATTCCATATCAGCCTGTATTGATGATTTAAATGCCTGGATGACTAGTAATTTTCTCAAGCTCAACACCGACAAAACAGATCTACTTCTTATTGGCTCACCTCGAATCACACCCCGTTTCTGTGTAGATAATGTTCACATTGCTGGAGTTTCGGTTCAACCTTCCACTACTGTTAAAAACCTTGGTATAATCTTTGATTCCTCTCTTTCCTTCCTTCCACACATTTCCTCGCTCACTAAGTCTGCCTTCTTCCACCTTCGTAATATTGCGCGTTTGCGTCCATTTCTGAACATCACCGATGCTGAAACTTTGGTTCATGCTTTCATCACATCACGGCTTGATTACTGCAATTCTCTCTTTTATGGCTTACCCGACTCTTCTATAAATAAACTCCAATACATACAGAACTCTGCAGCTAGGGTCCTCACATACACTAAGAAATCTTCCCACATCACTCCGATTTTACGCAGACTTCATTGGCTACCGGTACGCTTTAGAATTAACTATAAGATCCTCCTTATCACATTCAAAGCACTCCATGGTCTTGCCCCCCCCTATATTTCTGATCTCATCCATACCTACTCCCCAGCTCGCACACTTAGATCCTCTGATACTGGTCTTTTAAGGATTCCACGGCACAAACTATCATCATTTGGTGGAAGGGCTTTTTCTACTGCTGCCCCAACTCTCTGGAATTCTATTCCCCAAGACATCCGAAACCTCTCAACATTACATGAATTCAAAACTCACCTTAAAACTTATCTTTTCGCTTCTTGTTTCTGCTGATTTCTTTGTTTTGGTACCACTATCTCACTTTATATTTGCTTTTTCTATGTCATGTTTCTATGTCTCAACGTTTTGTATTGTTTATATGTCATATTGTTATGTGATGCTCACCTGTACTTACTGTAAAGCGACCTTGAGAACTTTGAAAGGCGCTATATAAAATAAACATATTATTATTATTATTATTAATGCATCAGTGTCACTGACAGAAGCCTTTGTAAAGGCTAAATTGGTGACTCTTCGTCAGTTGATGAGTCTGGCAGGACCAGATTTTATTGAAGTGGATGCAGTGGCAACACAACTGGGGATTAGATCCACTCGAGTGGTTGAAAAACTATTACGAAAGATACAGACTATCCTTACAGTGGAAGAGACTGAGTTACTCAAGAAACATTTTGAGGGAGAAATTACTCCTGATGATAAAGACTGTTTTCCAAGGTTGATGGTTTCGCCTAATTTAGAGGAGCAAGGTGGAATTTTCCTGGAATCTGAAAAAGTAGTGGTTTTGGACTTTGAAGATGTGAATGGTAAGAGATTGTACAAGTCATGTGTGAAATGTTTTAATAAAAAAGCATTAAATGAGAAAAATGATACACCTTGGCGAATTGTGTTAGGTTTGGATGAAGTTTTTAAGCCAAATTGGAGAACTTTTTACAAGCCACCATTAAATAAGAAAATTGGAGATTTGCAGTGGAGGGTTTTACATTGTATTATCGCTGTAAATGCCTTTATATCTGTGTTGAATCCTGAGGTAGGCCATGAATGCCCATTTTGCCCACAAAGGGAGACTGTTTTTCATGTTTTTATGAGTTGTCATAGACTTAAACCTTTATTTGTTTTTTTTACAAAACTTGTTTAAGTCTTTTAATGAAGAATTTTCCATGCAAGCTTTTATCTTTGGGGTAAAATATACAAAGAGAAGAAAGAGAGAGTGTCAGTTGTTGAATTTTGTTTTGGGCAAAAGTAAAATGGCAATATACATGAGTCGGAAAGAAAAAATTGAAAAAAATCAAGATTTTGATCTGGTGTCTATGTTTGGTGCCATGGTGAAGTCAAGAATTTTGATTGATTTTAGGTTTTATAAAGCTACTTCATGTCTTGCCATGTTTGAGGATGTTTGGTGTTATGGAGAGGCTTTGTGCTCTGTGGTAGATGACAATCTTTGTTTTATTCAATTTATGTAATTTATTTTAAGTAGGTTGTTTTTAATGTTTTGAAAAAAAAGGGAAATTTGTAATAAAGGTGTTTTCAAATTCAATTATTTCTTTCTTTCTTTCTTTCTTTCTTTCTTTCTTTCTTTCTTTCTTTCTTTCTTTCTTTCTTTCTAATCCATCTTTCTTTCTTTCTTTCTTTCTTTCTTACTAATCATTTGATGGGTAGGTTTAGGTGTGGGGTAGGGTAGTCTCATATTACACTAAAGGATTTATGACGCCTTGGCTTCGCGTGTTATATTAACGATAAAGGGTGTCATGTGCGTAGTATAGCGCCGTTTTGTCATATAGCGTTCTATGTGACGCTGAAGGATGAAAACGGGCTGATTTTGGCACACATCCCATGTTGTTCAATGAAGTCTTGAACAACGTTGTGAACGCCATGTTGTGAAATAAAGTGCACACAAATCTTACCCAGGACCTCTACTAATAAGTCCTATTGTACTTGTTACATCATAAGAAAAAAGGCATCTACGCTAATATTTGTCTCTCTGTTTATTCAAAGGTTTAGTGTAGTCAGCCAGATTCGGGCTGTATCCAGATCAAATGAAGGACCTAAACACGACCACAACAGGCAACACAGCTCTGAAGTGTCAGCAGAGACCGTGTCAACTACACCATCCCCTAAGAAGGCCTCAAAGACACAACAAAAGTTTTTTCCTCTGTACTGATGAAAACGTTCACATGGATCTGCGGAAACAACTAAAGATGTTGTATTATGCATAGCAGACAATTAGCAAGGTCACTTTGTTAAGAAAGACTACGCGCACACATGCATTCAATAAATAAAGGTGACTTTAATATGTGCAATGCTATGAAAAGCATCGATACTCATCATGCCCTCATTCACAAGTGCCATTATTTGAACAATTCCAGTCACTCACCAGATTGAGTCTTTGTCAGCTACAGCAATGCAGGGGTTAAATGGATGAAACTTCACCACTGATGGCACTCCTGGGTTTCTATTAATGAAGATCTGATCATCTAACCTTGTCACTCCTAAAAACGAGAGGGATGGGTTAGAATTTATCAGTTAGAACATTTTTATTAAGTTGAGCTTTACTAATGACCAAAGCAGTCTCTTGGTTTCTGAGGAAAGTGAATAAGGGTTACACAACAGTGTGAACCTAAACTTAGAGATTAGAAAAAAAATATGTATGAAGGAAACTCAGAGGGAATTGAGGATTTCTTTCAGTTCCTCTAGCTAGACTGAATGAGGGCAGCCCCAGTCTTGGTTTCAAAGGGGAGGATGACAAAGAGTGTGATGAAAGGAGAAAGACATACGAGCGTGAGCCAGATCCTCGGCTCTGACGCAATCAGTCCTGCTTGTGCGTGTGTTCCGGCATTGACGTAAGCACATTAGTTATTCAGTTTGAGACTCTGCTGACTTCAGACAGGGAGCCAAACACATTGCTTTCTTGAGGATTTCACACAGAAAAACTACATCACACAACCAGCCCGGTCTCATCCCAATGCGTCATATACTGATTGACATTTCGTCTACATCCAACGCACATGGCACCCTTTAGCGTCAATATGTGACGCAGATATATATATGGACCAGAAGGAGCCTCCTAGTGGTCTAACCCTAACCCTACCACAGACCTAAACCTACCCATAACAGAACAAAGCTCTGTGTGTGTTATATTGATGGGTTAGGGTTAGAAAGGGTGCCAATGTGCGCAGGATTTAGATGAAATGTCAAAAGTGTCTATATATGACGCCCTAGGATGAGAATGCGTAGATACAACTGTTCACTCAGTTCCACTTGTGAATTCCACATCATTATTACCCAGATGCATCTAATGCATAGAGAGTCAGGGCATCTCTTCTAGAGATTTACTATAGACTTAAGTCAAATGGCATTAGCAACTGGAAGTTTTTTCAATTCATACCTCCCCATCTTACAGGCATGACCAATCTTGGAAGGACCAATAACAAAGTCGACAGACCAATCATGACAGTGATGCAGGAGTCCTGCCTCCCTAATATATACCACTGCATAACCTCCCTACCTCATTCTCTTCCCCATGAAGATCTTTGGAAGCTATCCTTCAGCAGGTTTTTCAGAAGATGCTTAACTGTTATTATGGCGCTTTTCCACTGCATAGTACGGTACGGTTCGGCTCAGTACGCTTCGACTCGGCGCGGAACAGTTCGGATCGCTTTGCGTTTCCACTGCAGTAGTACCCCTTCAAAGTGTGTGGGACTGATCGTTATTTGCGCGCGCCTCTACTGCCATGACATCATCTCAAAAGCGCCACATTTTCAAACCCACAACACAGGAACAATGGAGACTATCGAGGGGATGGTGTTCCTGATTCTCGGTATGTGGTTGTTTTTAACTGCTAGACGGAAAAATGTGTTTAAAATGAGGCTGATGGCAGCAAAACAAAAATACTGCTAAAAAAATGTCTCGTGTCTCGTGTCGCAAATCCAATGACGCTAGTAGTGACGCTGGTAGTGACGATTCTGTCTGACCAATCAGTGATCTGCAGTTTTTCACGTCACATTTTAGTACCGGTACGGTATGCTTGGAACCTCAACAGACCAGGTACCATTTAAAGTGACCTGAAGCGAACCGTACTGTACCGTACCATGCAGTGGAAAAGCACCACAAGTGAGCCGTACCGAACCGAACCGTACCGTACTATGCAGTGGAAAAGCGCCATTAGACAACCCCCCAAAGTACTTTGACAAATGCTGCCGTTTTTGATAGTGGTTATATTAACTGTCACTGTGAATATTATTTGTGCTACCTAGATATTTGACATGCTATGGATAATTCTTACTAACTGTTATTTTATGTTGACTGCTAGTTCTGTAAGCAGCGGAGCAAGGGGGAAAGAACAAAGAGTCCTGTTCAGGTGGAGCTCGACCAACTTGAAATGTGCCGGAGGGTAGCGGAAAAAATACTAATTGATTGGCCGTCAAAGCCGGTGGGCCAGGGAATGGACAGAGATTTGTATGACAGTAACAGACTGCCATCATATGCTCCGGTCATTAAACAGCTCATTCCATCGGCCCTCACGTGTTTAAAAAAAAAAACAAACAAAAAAAAAAACAAAAAAAACATGGTTTCATCTGCCTTGGGCCCCATCCACACGAGATGCGTTTAGCTGTATACGCACAAACTTTTTTGTCATATTGGCGATTCATCCAGACGGATCTGAAGTTTTGGGACACTGAAACCGCTATTTTTTGAAACCGGGTCCCAGGGTAGATAAATCTGAAAACGACACCCTTGCATTTTCGTGTACGGCCAATCCGTATATTTTGTGAAGCGATAATGTCATCACCCCATGTGTTGACTAGTCAGACAGTCACGTAACATCAACAACAACTGCCGAACTGCTTGTATAATAATAATAATAATAATAATAATAATAATAATATAATATAATGCGGCAGAAACGACTGAGCCTCTTGTATTCCTTTATTTATTATTTACTTGAATGTTTTTTTATTTTTTTTAGGCCTATACTTTCTTTCGTATGCTATGATGTTGGTCTGTTGTCTGATTAAGACATTTCATATTTTGTAGGGATGGGGATTTAAAGCAAAAATAATATTTGACGATCGATCTAAATTATTTGATTATTACGGCTATTCAAAAAACACTCTGTAATGTTCCACTCCGACATTAAATTTCTCTGGCATACGTGTTATAGCCATTAAAGAAATGTATTTAGTTTAATATTTATGTTTAAATATGTTATTTTTTTATTGAATCTATGTTGATGATGGAAAGTGAACCGCGTGCATATGCACAATATATTGGGAGACCTAATTTTGACCACATTAAGTTTTGTTTTGTATAAAGCCTTTTTTTAAAGTGAATTTTGTTTTTGTATAAATTGTATCTTAATTTTAATAAATGTTTCATCAACCAATAACCTGGATTTAATAAATATATCTTGCATTGCTTGTGAAGCTCTCATTAGGGTCACAAATGATCTGCTCTTATCATCTGATCGTGGTGTAATCTCTCTATTAGTGTTACTCGATCTTAGTGCTGCATTTGACACAATTGACCACAACATTCTTTTAAATAGACTAGAAAACTATGTTGGCATTTGTGGAACTACATTAGCATGGTTTAAATCAGTGGTTCTCAAAGTGGGGTCCGTGAGCTAAAGCCAGGGGGTCCGCGAAATAATTTATAACAACCTAACATTTTTTCCGTGCTATGAGTCATGTTTTCTTTATCATCTGAAAACATACTATTTATTCCTAAGTAACTTATACAGTATAATGCATTTAACATCAAACAATACAAAGTAGACACTTAAAGTTTTCTATAGATAGATAATCTATCTGTATTTCTTAGTCCAGTGTTTCCCAACCGGGGGTACGTGTACCCCTAGGGGTACGTGAGCAGTCCCCAGGGGGTACGTGGGATTATTCTCAAAAGACTATAACATTTTTTTTTAAAACATCAAAACATTTCTCAAACTTTTCTCAAAACATTTTATTTTAGGATTGCATTAAAAGGATTATTTTAGAACTTGATTATTAATTTTATTGGTTTATTTTTGTATTTAAAGTTTGTAAATAAAAAAAAATATTATTATTATTATTATTAATCTTTGTTTTGTATAATTGGTCTGAACATGTGAAGAAGTGAAAAGGTCATACAAATATTGAACAAAGGCAAGTATTATATTATAAGAGTTATAGGAAGTAAAAATATCATTATTTACAGGTAAATTCAGGTATCACCTAAAATTTACACCAAATCTAAAAATCACACCGATCACATGCGCTTGTGGGGGTACTTCAGGCAGGATAAAATGTTTTGGGGGTACAGTACCCAAAAAAGGTTGGGAACCACTGTCTTAGTCTGTGCGAATTCGTTGTGGTTGATTTTGCGGAACGTGCGCCAGAAAGAAGACAGAGATGGCATGAACCCGCATCCGGTTGTTTTCTGTATTTTTAAAAGGCATGACATTTTGTAGTCATTTATAATGTAGCCTATATACAAATAAAAAAAAAATGGACACTTTACCGTTTCGAATGATGTACTCTTGTCTTATCTGTATGACCAAATAAGAGTAGGCTATTCCTGTTTCCACTGCTGAGGAAAAATTCCCACGTAATTGCGCGGCGTTGCCGTCTCGCGTGCACACACAATATGTCATTGTCAGTTCTAGCACCGCTAGATTTGACATTAGAAGTCTGATCATTATCAAAATAAAAGTACATAGTGACAGGGCCGTACTCACAATTGAGCTTGCAAGGATGTACATCGCGATGATAACCGACCTTCTTGTCTGAGCTGCTTCAGCAGACTAACAACGACAGCTCGTCAATGTCAAAATGTTTGAGTCGGAGTGAACTCAAAGTTCCCTGCACGACGCTTCAGATAACGGTCATAAAGTGCGAGATAAGACACAGGCCTAAATAGCTAAACTAAACAGCTGTTTTAGATAGAAGTTTTAAACAAATGACTGAAATCAGTTTGCAAAGTATTAATCAAGCTCAACTTTGAGAAAGGAAAAAGCAGGTCAAGACTGTGCCCATGAGATTAACATTATAGATTCATATTTAACACATACTGTATGTTTTTTTTTTTTTTTTTTAGCTAATTACAGGGCATATATACTCAAATTAACAACACACACACCTATGAAACATATTGCCATTATCATTGTATGAATATAGGCTTATATAGGCTTTATTTGTGTGCAGAATAGGCCCAATCCTTGAAACATTTCTCTTTTAAGGCCATTCCTGTTTGGAATATGTGATTGTGTTTCTTGACATCTTGACAAAAAAAAAACTAGATATTACCGGCTGTCGTTGAAACAATGGAGGATGGTGTGTACAGATCACCGAGGGCGGGGTCTATGCCACAACCACACTGTCAATCAAACCCCTTTTCTCACTTTCTACGTCACAAAGATCTGAATCTTAGAACAGTTCGTTCTGAGACAGTGGATATGATTTATTGAGATTGTAAAAAAAAAACACTGGGTGGATTTTTATCATTCTAGGGTGGTTTTGCTCACATACTGCCAACACACATTTATGTTCAAACACCATGTAAAAGTGAATTTTCCATAATAGGTGCCCTTTAAATCATACTTATCTGACCGTTATCAGTTTGTAGCAGTAAACGAAGAGATGTCTTATCGATCACAAGTTCAGTATGGCGTACCACAAGGCTCAGTACTAGGACCACTGCTATTCACTCTGTACATGCTACCATTAGGAGATATCATTAGGAAACATGGAAGCTTTCACTGTTATGCTGATGATACTCAGCTGTATATTTCTTCAAAACCCAACGAAACTTACCAATTCACAAAATTAACGGAATGCACAGCTGATATAAAAAATTGTATGACTAGTAATTTCCTACTACTAAATTCTGAAAAAACAGAGATTCGAATTATTAGACAAAAAACTTCCACACGTAACAGCCTAGAATACTGTCTAACACTGGCTGCTCTGTTAAGTCTTCGTCGTCGGTTAGGAACCTGGGTGTGCTCTTTGATACCAATCTCTCATTTAAAAGTCATGTGTCTAGTATCTGTAGAACCGCATTTTTCCATCTTAAAAATATATCTAAATTACGCCATATGCTCTCATTGACAAATGCAGAACAATTAGTTCATACATTCATGACATCAAGGCTAGATTATTGTAATGCTCAACTGGGTATTGGGTACTGTGTACTGGGCCCAGCACGCTTAATAAACAAACTTCAGCTAGTTCAAAACGCATTAGCTCGAGTTCTTACCAGAACCAGGAAGTATGACCATATTAGCCCGGTTCTGTCAACCCTGCATTGGCTGCCTATTAAACATTGTATAAATTTTAAAATATTGCTGATTACATACAAAGCACTAAATGGTTTAGGTCCGCAGTACTTAAGCGAGCTCTTAACGCATTATAGTCCTTTACGTCTATTGCGATCTCAAAACTCTGGCCAGTTGATAATACCTAGAATATCGAAATCGACTGCTGGTGGTAGATCCTTTTCCTATTTAGCACCAAAACTCTGGAACAATCTTCCTAACATTGTACGGGAAGCAGACACACTCTGTCAGTTCAAATCTAGACTAAAAACACATCTCTTTGGTCTAGCATACATATAACACACTACAGACTTCCTAAATTCAAAATTAGGCTGCTTAGTTTAGATCAGCCGGAACCGGAAACACGTCCCATAAATCCTGATGTACTTGGTACATCATAAGAAGGATGGCGTCTACACTAATATTAGTTTCTCTGTTTATCTCGAGGGACCCTCTATGGTGGACCTACGCCAGGACCCATCCCGACTCATCCTTAAGTGCCGGCCTCATCTACGCGACAGCCATCGGCATTGATCCTCAACATCTCATCTTCAAACTGGCATGATTACTTCGACTTCCAAACAGATGGAAATGGACAAATATTCTTAATGTTTCGATCCAATTTGTTTTGTAATCACTGTTCCTTCGTTGGCCAGAGAAGAACTGGCCCCCGACTGAGCCTGGGTTCTCCCAAGGCTTTTTTCTCCATTCAGTCACCTGATGGAGTTTTGGTTCCTTGCCACTGTTGCCTTGGCTTTCAGCTTGCTTAGTTGGGGACATTTAATATTCAACAATATTATTTATCTGTGTTGTATTATTTTCATGTTCTCACTGTGAAGCTGCTTTGATACAATCTATATTGTAAAAAGCGCAACATAAATATAGGTGACTTGATTTGACTTGAACTGGAGCTCATCTCATAAATGAACTGAAACTCAGAAATATACAGAAATCTTGAAATGTCTACGTTTAAACAACATCGACGAACAACAATTCAAAATGAAAAGAAACAGATAACTCTCTTATAGCCTCCGTATGAAGTGCATTAGCCTACTCCATAGGCACGTTCATAATAGAGTCAGCATCATCAACTTCCTCTTTTCAGTCAAGAATGACAAAGAAAACATTAGTTTATTAATAAACAATTATAATGTATATATTTGACACATTTGTAACTTTTGCCAGTTCTTTGTGGCAAGCTTTCTGAGTCCGCTAACTAATCGAATATCGTGACTCACTATTTTGTACCAGGCAATTTATGGTTGTTCAATAAAGTTCTTGGTAAAAAGAAAGAAAGAAAATAAGCAACTGTGCGTAATATTATTTCATAGCCTGGTATTTATTTTACTGTCTGTATAGCCTACAGTGCGCAAGGTTTTATGCGCATGCTCTAAGTCGTCTTCTCGCATTTTTAGTGTATCTCTACGGCAGAATTACAGCGCCACATACTGGTCTGGGATGTCCACTACATCGTTTTGAGTCGGTTTCAGCGGTTTCGTGTGTACGCAGATGTTTTTCGAGACGCCCCCGTGTTTACGGACTTTTTCTTTTGAACGAGGACAAAAAAACATTGGATAGGGGAAGCTCTGGCTTCGTGTGGATGTGGCCTTAGTGTCACTGCCAAGACGCACTGAGCAGTCTTAGTTTTTCAGAAGATCTAACATTCTTCTTCTGGCAGTGAGGCCTCTTAATGCCACCTCTCTTCTCACCTTCTTTCCTTTTACCCACAATCAGCCAGGGTTATTATCAGCAGTTTGCTTTAAAACCACCACTTTTCAACAGTGTTATGTCAACAGCAGAGAGAAAGAAATAGCTTATTTCCTAGTATTTTCTGTCCCATTCTGGATTTGCAGAAAATAAGTGAGAGTTTTAACTCAAGTGCTACAGGTTTGGCTCAGAGGGTAAATATAAATACCTATATAACCTCAACACTTGTCCCATCTGGTAGTGGATGCTATTATATTCGGTAAAAATAGCATGGGTCTTCATCCTCCAGAAGGGCTGAGGGGGCTCATTCTACCAGAGTTTTGGCTACCTCATGGGGATTCTTTAAGGGTGTTTCAGTTTAGCAATTTTAAGTGGGGTGGGGAGTTGGGCTTCGCCTCACACTTGTGCTATGCTGTGATGTATATTAAGGAGGCAACACTCTTGCACCACAGTAGTGATTGGTCAGACAAATGACAGACATGGTTTTATTGGTGCTTCCAGGATTGGTCACGCTCGAGGAGATTAAGAAAGTGGTGGTGGTGATGGTGCAGTGGATAAGACACATGCCTTTGGTGTGAGAGACCCAGGTTCGAATCTACTGTGAGACACCAATGTGTCCCTGAGCAAGACACTTAACCCCCTAGTTGCTCCAGAGGAGTGTGACCTCTGACATATATATCAATTATAAGTCACTTCGGATAAAACCGTCAGCTAAATGAATAAATGAAAATGAAATGAATAGTAACCTAAAGATTTACACAGCAAAGTTGAGGCTACTCTGAGGTGGATCCAAATTCTGTGTATACGCAATAATGCTGCATAAAATTAGAAGAGCATATATTTTGGTTGCATATTTGTATTTAGAACTTTCTAAAGTCTACACTCACCTAAGGATTATTAGGAACACCATACTAATACTGTCTTTACCTTCAGAACTGCCTTAATTCTATGTGGCAAGGATTCAACAAGGTGCTGAAAGCATTCTTTAGAAATGTTGGGCCATATTGTTAGGATAGCATCTTGCAGTTGATGGAGATTTGTGGGATGCATATCCAGGGCACAAAGCTCCCGTTCCACCACATACCAAAGATGCTCTATTGGGTTGAGATCTGGTGACTGTGGGGGCCATTTTAGTACAGTGAACTCATTGTCATGTTCAAGAAACCAATTTGAAACGATTCAAGCTTTGTGACATGGTGAATTATCCTGCTGGAAGTAGCCATCAGAGGATGGGTATATGGTGGCCATAAAGGGATGGACATGTTCAGAAACAGTGCTCAGGTAGACCATGGCATTTAAACGGTGCCCAATTGGCACTAAGGGGCCTAAAGTATGCCAAGAAAATACCCAACACCATTACCTCACCACCAGCCTGCACAGTGGTAACAAGGCATGATGGATCCATGTACTCATTCTGTTAACGCCAAATTCTGACTCTACCATCTGAATGTTTTAACAGAAATCGAGACTCATCAGACCAGGCAACATTTTTCCAGTCTTCAACAGTCCAATTTTAGTGACCTCTTGCAAATTGTAGCCTCTTTTTCCTATTTGTAGTGGAGATGAGTGGTACCCGGTGGGGTCTTCTGCTGTTGTAGCCCATCCGCCTCAAGGTTGTGCGCGTTGTGGCTTCATAAATGCTTTGCTGCATTCCTCAGTTGTAACGAGTGTTTTTTTCAGTCAAAGTTGCTGTTCTATCAGCTTGAATCAGTCGGCCCATTCTCCTCTGACCTGTAGCATCAACAAGGCATTTTCACCCACAGGACTGCCGTATACTGGATGTTTTCCCCTTTTCATACCATTCTTTGTAAACCCTAGAAATGGTTGTGTGTGAAAATCCCAGTAACTGAGCAGATTGTGAAACACTCCGACCGACCCGTCTGGCACCAACAACCATGCCACGCTCAAAATTGCTTAAATAACCTTTCTTTCCCATTCAGTTTGGAGTTCAGGAGATTGTCTTGACCAGGACCACACCCCTAAATGCATTGAAGCAACTGCCACGTGATTGGCTGATTAGATACTTTCATTAATGAGCAATTGAACAGGTGTTCCTAATAATCCTTTAGATGAGTGTATATTCATATTGTTTCTGTATTCATATTTCCATATTTAAAACAATAATTTCATACGATTATTTCCGCAAAAGTAATTCCCTTCTGCGCCTGTTTAAATGCATTTTCAAGTAATATATGCTGCTTTATTCTGTCTTTGCAGTGAAACACATTTTTAAATTTTAAACATTTTGTGAAATATCAAGTAATATAACAAGTTACAAAACTAAATATATAAATGAATGATGATGCAAGTAGTCTTTGCTGTCAGTATATAACAAATTCTTGAGTTTTACCTTTCTGAGTGATGTGTTGGCTTTGTCGGCGTACACGAGCGTTACGTAAGAATCTCCACTCCCTCTCCTTATGAACCTGACTCTCCAAATCATGCTCTTCTGGAATCTGAAAGAGAGATAAAAAATTAAATTTTCAAATAATGGAGCACCAAAAGGGTCACCGTGTTTACAACCATAAACACATATAATTACAGACATGAACCTGGTTTTGAAAGTTTTGAGTACAGAAACTCAAGTCATTGTGTAAGAAAACACTAAAGACGAACAGTATCATCTCTCTAAAAAAGTGATGTTGACTGTGATCTCTTACACTCTCTATATAGTTTCACACCAGTACTGACTTTATAAATTTCTTTACTTTGATTGATTGATACAATAAGAGAGAAAATTGTAACCATGGAACCATCTGCTACAGTATTGCATCAGACAGTGCTATAAAAAAACCATGAGGAACAATCACATTTATTATTTGCTATAGGGAAAGAAGAATTGTCTAAACTTGTTAAATCATGAAAATCAACAACATGAACAGTATGTTAGACACTATACAGACTAAGCTACTGAAAGAGATGCCCCTAGATGCTCCTCTTCTTAATTCATCAAACATTTCTAAATGACTGTTATTAAAGGGGTCATGAACTGGCTTTTTAAATTTTATTATATTGTTGTCTGAGGTCAACTTATGACATTCACTTGGTTTTTACATTCAAAAACTTTAAAATTAATAAGTAATAGGCTATTTTCAACCCTAGTTTTGAGCCTACTCGTCGGTGCACGTGGGGAAATTGTTTTGAAAAAGTCCAATGTTGTAAAATGGCAACCGGAATGATTCGCCCATACATGTTCGACTCAGAGTTCATGTGTTGCACCATTTCTTTCGGATAAAATATAGACGGCACAGCACCATTCTTTAATCTTAATTGGTCTGCAAATCAGCTGGAACAACCCTCATCAGCTGGAACATCATTAAAAATAAAGTTTAACCATGCATTCCTATTGGAATCCAGAGGAAGCATCTGTCTTCTTCCACAACCAGGCACTGCACAATATTTTATATTGCTTGGTAGCTCGGTTCGGTTTGTCATCACGAGGTAGGCCTATGTTATTTAGCTATGCGTGTAATGCGCAAAACGGTGGGTGGGGCTAAACCGGCCGTGTTGAGTAGGCGTTGATATTCTTCTGCTGGGGTGGTGTTTTATCCTCTTTGACGTCATAGTTCCCCACTTTGAAAACGAGTCGTTTGCTGAGCCTGGTGTCAATAAAAGCTTTTATTGGAATAACAAGGACGTTTTCAGTTCTGAAACTTACAGGATATTCTTATAATCAGTAAATTCTCATATCAGTAAATCGGGGCGCATGCGCAAGTGCTGACCCAGACGCTGGCGTGTTCGTGTCTGTTTGTTTGAATTTAAAGTTTGTTTCTGTTGCTGTTTTATTCTCAAAACTTCTAGCACAAATTAACGGATCTGTTGACCCATTGCAATTTGCTTACAAGCCCAATCGGAGCACCTCTGATGCCTGCCTGACCTTACTTCACAAAGCACAGCATCATCTAGATAAAACTAATGCTCATGTTAGAATGTTTTTTTATGGATTTTACATCAGCATTTAATACTGTACAGCCAAAAATTCTAATAGAAAGGCTGCGAGATTTAGGTGTACATAGCTGGTTAATTTTATGGATTGAGAATTTTTTAAGAACAAGCCACAAAGAGTCCGTGTTAACGGAATTTTATCTGACTACATAGTCCTACATTCTGGATTACCTCAGGGATGTGTATTATCGCCTTTGCTCTTTTCTGTTTATACTTATGAACTTAAGTGTAACATTGATGATTTTACGTTGATTAAATATGCAGATGATTTGGTTTTAATTTCGTGCCAAACAGACAAGAACTGTCCCACCTACTTTGAGTATATCGAAAGCCTTGTACAATGGTGTGACAATAGTCATTTACGGTTGAACACTGGGAAGACAAAGGAATTATGCTGTGGGAATCAGAATAAGAAATGTACAGGTGTCCTCCAATATGAAGAAGTAACTATAAAAGGTGTAAAGATTGAGCAAGTTAAAAATTTTAAATATTTAGGCACAATCATTGACGATAAACTTTTCTTTTTGGATAATGTGAACTATGTACATAAGAAAGCAAGAAAGCGCTTAAGCCTACTTAGAAAGTTGCGAAACCTTGACATCGAAAGGAGGATCTTAACCATTGTATATAGATCGATGATTGAAAGCATTGTAACCTATAATATTGTCTCATGGTATGGAAATTTAACAATGAAATTAAAGAATAAATTAACACGAGTAATCTATGAAGCAAACAAGATTATCGGCCATAAACAGAGCACACTACAAGAATTATTCTAAAATTTTATGGAGAAAAAGGCGCTAGCTGTGTTTTCAGATCAGACTCATCCTCTCCACTCATGCTTTGAAGTCTTCCCTTCGGGTAGCAGGCTACGTACACCGTATGCTAGGAAGAATATTTTTAAAAGATCATTTGTCCCATTGGCAGTGACTGTTTTAAACCAAATTCTCAATTAGGGATGTTGTGAATTATGTGCACTGTATTTTTATTGAATCATGTATTTATTAATTATGGGCGCATTATGTGTTTTATGCGTTTAATGTGGTTGTAGAATGTTGTTGAAGCCAGTATCAAAGATGAATTTCTGTCCAGTTAATCTGAACAGACAATAAAGGTAAAACAAACAAACATAATATGATGACCTCTTAGATGTCAATAGCTCAAGGAAAATGTGATTTCTCAGTTCATCACCCCTTTAAGCCACTTAATTATATAAATAAAATAAATAAATAAACTTGATCCTAAATAATTAGTTCACTACAGACCAATCTAGCCTTTCTTTCAAAAATACTATAAAAGCGAGTGTTCACAACTATGTTCCTTTTTAGAAAGAAACTGTATCAGCAAGGATTTCCAGTCATGATTTAGACTGTAAGATAGTACCGAAACTGCATCTCTCTATTAGTGTTAATGGATCTTGCTGTGCTGCATTTGATACTATCGACCACAACATTCTTCTGAATAGACAAAAAATATGTTGACATTAGTGGACTTGCACTGGCATGGTTCAAATCGTATTCATCTGACTGTCACCAATTTGTAGCAGTAGATGAAGAGGTATAATACTGATCACAAGTTCATTATGGAATACCACAAAGCTCATTTACTAGGACCATTGCTTTTCACCCTGTAAATTAGGAAACATGATGTTAGTTTTCATGCTGATACATGATTGCTACTGTCTGCCCGCTGCTGAGTGGTTTACGTCTGTTAGCTCCATATTGCTTTCTGTTTTAAATATTTATTGACTATCATTCTGTGTTTAAATTGCTAATTATATCTTACTCATCATCAAACATTACCACACATTAATCTGACATCACTAGCTTCTATCTAAATCGTTATAACTAGCACAACACGCTACACGCCATCTGTGCCTGCGGTCTTTATTTATTTATTATAGATTTACAATAACAATAAATAACAAAGGTAAGTAAACTGTAAAAAAGAAAATCCGTTAAATTTACAGGAAAAAAAAAACTGGCAGCTGTGGTTACCAGAGTTTTCCTGTTAAAAATACAGTAGCAACATTTTAGGTTTTACAGACTTTTAACCATATATAACTTTACAGCAAAAAAACTTATTTCATTATCTGATATAATGTTAATTTACTGACCTTTCGAACCATTTGAAAATGTCATTTTGGGGCCTTTTAAAAAGAGCTGGTTTGGTGTGTACCACATTAAATGTAAATGAGCTGCATATCCCCGCCCTGCCTTTGGATGAGGGCGTCACTTGCATACCTATATAAATAAACAGTCAGTAGAAGCAGAATGGCTGAGAGTGAGAGACTCGCTGTTTTATATGTCATTCAGCCGTACATGTTTGAACCACAATCAGACCAGATGGAGAGACTCCGGCAGAATAAACACAAATGAGAATGGACCAGGATGTCTCGGAATGGTTATTTGATACATTCATATACTTATAGAGTTTTAATCGAGTCAACTTTGCAATTATGGCTGTGCAACACACACATACACACACAAACTGTGATAACGTGGGCACAATTTTTTGAAACTACAAACACAAATACTGTGATAACGTTTGCTACGTACAAACGAAATTACATTTATGCGAGGGACCTGTTGCGTCATGTTTACATTACTTGTCGTACAGGTGCTTATGTGGCAAATATGAGAAGATGGCTACAAAACAAGAAAATATATGCTGTAGGGAGATAGAACAGGTATTATTTACATTTGTAATTGTTGCAAAAAATAATACATGACATAAAACTGTCTGACGCTATTTGTTTTATCGAAGGATACAAGACGGATGAAACAACTTTTGATGTGTCTTTACAGAAAACATAACTTACACAGACAATATCTTTAATATATATATATATATATATATATATATATATATATATATATTACACACTATCCTGGAGAACACTTCTACTGGAGGTGACGTTGGATCGCGAACAGTAGGCAACGATCCACACTTGAGGATTAACTTTGAAGCAAGAGCTGCTATGAATTGACCCTCGTTCACAAAACAGTCAGTAAGAAAACCATTCGCGCAAACATAAAAATATTTTGGAAGTTTAAATGGTGCCTTTGATTCGTAAATAAAATCCATCCACTGCTTTTTCAGTGGCTCTGATGTCAGAAGTCAAAACTACTATGTACATTATTACATCTCACAACAGAACACTTATGTTTCTTAGGAGACATTACCGGCTGTCATTGAAACAATGGAGGACGGTGTACCAATGACGGGGTCTATGACAAAACCACAGTGTCAATCAAACCACGTCGGTGGGGCTTGCGCAATTCTACGTCACATTGCGCCAAAAATTAGAACAGCTCGTTCTGAGACAGTGCTTATGATTTATTAAGATTGTAAAAAAAAAAATCATTCTTGGGTGGTTTTGCACATACTCTGCCAACAAGCATTTATGTTCAAACACCACGTAAAAGTGAATGTTGCATAATAGATGCCCTTTAAATGCCTTTTGAGTTTTTTGTCATTCAGTACAAATACCTCAGTACCTATGTACACC